CCTGTGATCTCATCTAAGCTAATTACCTCCCAAAGGCCCCACCTCCAAATACCATCACACTGGAGATCAGGACTTCATGGAATGGATGTTGGGCAGACACGGACGTTCGGTTCATAGCAATGTCTGTGGCCTTCCTCTCCCACACCTTGCACTGTGATGTGTGAAGATTCTCCACGGGCTTGTATACCTTTCTACATTTTGTTTATACTCTGTCACATGACACTGGCTCAGAGACTTGGTAAATATTTTGCTTGTGGTGACACAGCCCCACTGACAGAACTGTGATGCCAAACTCATCCACGTCATTTCCACTCCGATGCTCTCCCTAATACATGCGGTTGTCCACATAAGTCAACACATAAACAATTAAAAGTGAGCCCCACCATGTTTGTGTCCGTGGGCCCTTCCTGTCTGGCTCAGCCGGGGAACGTTAGCATGCACCAGTGGATTGAGCAGAGTAGCAGAGTAACTAACGTGACGTTAACTCATATAGCTACCATTTTCGTTTTCATTTATTTTATTTTTATGATTATCTTAAGTGAGAAATTGTAATTGTATACATGTATAGGTTACAATGCATTGATTTGATGCATGTGTGTGTATATATATATGTATATATAAAATGTGAAATGATTAAAACAAGCTAATTAACATTTCCATCACCTCACTTATCCCTTTCATGTGGTGAGATACTTGAAATTTATGCTCTTAGTTATTCTGAAATATAAAATACCTTATTAGTGACTGGTCACCTTGCTGTGCAGTGGATGTGTGAGCATAGGCTAGATGACATCTGTGTGTTAATTTAATCTTCAACATTACAATAAAGAAGATCTTACTCATCATCTCTCTTTCCTACATGAACAAACCGAAGTTTGGAGAATTCAATGCCTATACCAAGGCCACAGAGCCGAAAAGTGACAGTGATAGTTTTGTAGTCCAGATCCTTTGGTTTCCAAAGCCCAGGTTTTTTCTTGTACACTGAGGAATCTCTCAAAGTGGATGAGCTGGTTCCATCTGGTCTCAGGAAAGGATCTTTTCATTTGCTTTTTTATAAGAACCAGTGAAAAACTAAGTAGATTGAACAAGCAAATTAATACTGAAGACTGTAAAATACAAAGCTAATGATTTGGATCAGAGTAATACACAAGGATAGATACAGGTCTGGAGATAAATAACAGTTTTCCTCCCTGGGTATTCGTAGCCCCTTTCATCCAGGCGAGGCAAGGATAGTGTCTCTTCCCTGTTTACTCCCTCGGTTCTTGCCTTCCACCCCTCTTTCTCACCCTGATTGCATGTACCTAACCCCAAGGCTCAAATCTGTTTGGATTACAAGCTCCCCGAAGACAGGGGCTGTCCCGTTACTTTTTGTATTTCTGGAGCCCAGGTTCGTGCTGGCCCACCATGGCACATGGTACCTCCTGGAATCATCTCCGATGTGCCTGTTTCTGGAGGTCACACGTGTCTGCTTTCTGCAGGTCAGATCTTAAAATTCAGGCTTTCTGCTTTAACTAACAATAGTTCAGCAAAAGGGATTTCTAGAACTATTGCTATTTTAATCTCTGCCTTTGATGCAATCATACAGAAAACCCAAAAAGGTATCATGCCTCAACTTCAGAAGCCGTTGCTCTCTGTGTGTTCTTCATAGCTCAGCACCACGAGAGTGGGGAGAACGTGGCTGTAGAACTACTACCCTGACTACTACCCTGGGGCTTCCTGCAACATTCTCCTATCGGGCAGATGCCCCATTTTCTTTGACAGTTTTGTGTTTCTGGGTAAAACTATCCCACTAGCCCCTATGCTGAACTTAATCAGGCTGGCTGAACTGGTACCAAGCAGTGAATTTATTTTAGTGGCACTAACATACAGGCTCATGTTAACTGACATTGAGAGCCACTCTAGCACTTGCTCCTAACCTATTGACTCCTAGTTTACATAAAGTTCTAGCCAGTTTGGTGGGGCTGTTCTCTAACTCTCAGCATACTGAATGCATCACACTGTCAGTGTGTTGACAGGCAGAGTGATAACAAAGAGAAGTAACAGCTGATAGCCTGACAGAAAAGGAGGAAGCAGACAGGCTATTAAAGACAGGCTCAGGGACTTGAACCTCTGGCAGTCCAGGAACACTTAGTGCATCTCAAGAACTGAAGATAGGTTCTGACACATCACTCTAGCAACTGAGCAGCGTAGCTCAATAATGTCCACAGTAATGACCTGAAATCCAAAGATCATTCACTACTGTTTGGTCGACTCGGATTTGCAGTGTCTTTAATGGGACAAAAAGTATGAACTATATTTTAGAGCTATTTCCATCTAAAATACTAACAGTTTTCTAAGAAAAATAGTTACTCATGAAATTCTTGGCTTTGCACAGTTGTGTGTTACCAGAGAGTTCTGAGTACTCGAGGGGGGTGTGTGTGCCTATGTGTGTCTGTGCATTCGTGTGTGTGAGAGAGAAATCAATAAAGGCTCACGGAGAGAAGCAGAGAGAGAATTCGTGTGTTTGCATTTTATCAATACCAATAATTTGTATTTTAACATTAGCCTATTTTAATGGAAGCACATTCTTTAATCCCATGTAAGGACATGAACAAATCATTTACTCCATATGACATGAAAACCTCTGGTGATGTAAGGCCGTGAGTGGGGGGCAGTGGCAAGTTAGGGAGTAGTTAAAATGATGCTTTGTTGCCATGGAGCCAAGACATTTGGTGCTCTAATGGCTTTGCTGTGCCCTCATTGTCCCCAAGAGTTCCACAGGACCCCAGAGTTGAGACTGTACCCAGGGACCCTCGGCTTTCCTGTGTCCACTCATAATTAAAGGATTATACTCTTCAACGTTTTTTTTTATGTTTTAAATTGTGGATCAATTTCAAGATGGGTTTCAATGAGAAATGAGGGGCCAGGCAGAGACAGGTCAAATTCGGCACAGAAACTCGACCGATATCAACTTCTCCATTCCTACGAACATCTTAAAAAATGCTTAAAGGACATGTCTTAACAGAGTCCTATTTAGCATGCCAAGTATGTGAGTAAACAAAAAAAGTTAGATATTACTAGAGCAATGTGGGTGATTAAATTAAATGTGGCTAAAGAATGGAGCCTCTCAGGAATCAGCAGGTAGTAAGTGCAGGCTACTGCTATCCGTGTGCATATTTCAACCCTTCCGAAGAATGGCCTGCAAAATGCTTTCACTTACATTTTTCCACCGCTGATGGCCTGTCAATTCTAATGAACATACTCCATGCTAGGAAGGTGACAGGAATTACGTGAATTACATCCATTATCTTTTTTGGCCTTCCTTTCTGTCTGTCACGCTATACTTTAAAAGAACTGGTTATTAAAGCGTTATGTAAGTATGCAAAACATACTGAAAGAGAGACAATGTTTCCATTATATACAATATATATTGGTAAGAAATGCTTGAGTGTGATGACACATGACAAGTGGTGAAAGGTATTTTTAGTTTCTTTTTGGGGGAGGATAAAGCAAAATTATCTAGAATGTACAGCACTAAGAGTTTTTTTAGCTTTTCTAATATTTAGCATATTTATGACATATTTAAATAGATACCTAAATGAAATTGTTTTGAAAGTTAAAGTAAGTACTAAAGATATTTTATACTATTTTTAATAATCATTTGTGCTCTTTTGAAAAGCTTATGCTAGGTCTGTATTTGCTCTATATTTTAATGGTCTTTTTCCACATCCATATTCCTTTGAATTGCTCGTATCTCCGTAAGAAATTGTAAACCATTTTTAATTCATCTGAGCAATTGACTTATGCATAAAGTATGGTCCTTGCAGGAAATGACCAAGAAATTATGCTTATGACTTAAATATTTGAAGCCCAGAACAATAAAGTCACCACTCCTGGAAATTCTGATTAAAATGAACCGAAGGAAGTTTCAACTGAACCTAAGAAAAACAAACAATAAAAGAAGTTGAGTTTTTTACATTTTAGTCTTTTCCCAAAGAGATAAATCACGTTCTTTCGTGTGAAATCGCATCACATGCAGAAATAGTGCGCAGAAGAGCACAACAGTGGCAGAAGTGTACTCAGTCACCCACCACGAAGGTGCAGTGACTCACTTTGAGGTCTGCTTTTATGCTCCAGTTCGTTTTGCCACCCAATTATAATTGAACAGCGACAGTTATCTTCAAAGGTTACATTTTCAAAGGAAAAAAGTCTTCACCCTTCTTAAACTAACACTGATATTTGATTCCAATGTTAACCATTTCTGTAAAACTAAAGTTGTACAGGTAAAAAAGAATCACAGGTCACAGATGGGACATGGTGTTTTACGCTGACATGAAGAGGCAATGGCTGAGCATGAGATTTTCTCCTTGAGGCGAAGATAGTTATTGTCAATGATTTGAGTAGTTGCTTTAAAAATTAGTCATTAAGAAATAGCAAAGTGTTCTAAAACATGGAATCTGGGAAGACTTGGTCCTTGTTTTAAAATGTAGTGATAAATGATGGTTGTTATTATTATGAAGAAATAAGACAATCTTTCCTGGGAAGCTTGTGAAATATTTTATTGCTTTATGGTCTAATGTTTTTGTGCTTTTACCGGAATACTTCAAACTGAGGCAAACATTTATACCTTCATGAGGTAGAAATTGCAACAATGTCAATACTCCCTTAACGTGTCACATTCTAAGAAAAAAGCAATGACCCAAGAAAATCTTCTAATTAGCTATATATGAATTAGATGACAACTGTGTTACTGTAAGATAAATACATGACCTAAAAAATTAATTTATGAATTTAGATTTGCTAAGTATATTTTTATTGTTAACATACTTACTAACAACTATTTAGGCAGTTGAAAAATTAAAACAGCTTAGACCCTAAAGTAACACACACACACCCCTATTTTTAGCCTTTGCATGAGATTTCTTCAGACGAAAAGAAAAAACACTGTCTAAGGACTTTGTTCATGTGGTTGGGTTGCTTTTGTTCTATTTTAACGAAGCAATTACTTCCCTGTGTTTCAGGATCTAGATTTCTCATCACATCCACTGGAGCCTTGTATATTAAAGATGTACAGAACGAAGATGGATTGTATAACTACCGCTGTGTCACGCGGCACAGATACACCGGAGAGACGAGACAGAGCAACAGCGCGAGACTCTTTGTATCAGGTAGAAACTCATCAAGACTGTGTCAGCTGCTTCTGCTGTTCCTTTGTTGGTGTCCTGAGATGACTCCCCCAAAATTGTGGAATGTGTGACTAAAATGAAGGCTTCAGGTTTTTTTCAAAATATTTTAGCAATTTAAAATGTCTTTCAAACCAGTATCGGTGCAATGTATTAATAATACCAATACAGATACTCCAAGTGCGGTTGTTTTACATCTGTCAACCAAGCAAACAATCCATTCACAGGATGTGCATTAGCACTTCAGGGAACAGCGGGGGAGAGTGGAATATCTATCTCAGTATTAGGAAGTCAAATGCAAAATCCCTGACCTTTGCCTTTGCAGCTTAAGTAAAGTAAAGTTGTTCCACATGAGAGATATCCTATATAGATATAAGAGTGAGATGGAATTGAGCAAAGGTGGTTTGCTATCAGTACTTGAGGAGTATTTTATTTTATTTGCAGTGATGCTTTATGGGAAGAAGTACTGGAAAGTTATTGAACATTGGGGTAATTAAAACATACGCACTGAATACCCTCTTATTGTCCTTGATAATGTAATATCGGGATTTTTCTCTCCCCCATGCACATCCTCGACACAGCCGAAGCCAACTTAGTCTTTCAAAGTCCAGCACAAATACAACTCAAGATTAAATTATTTTTCCTCTGAACTTGCAATTTTTTTCTTAGCCTGTTGCTTTTCAAGTCAATTGTACTTTCTCCCTCGTTTTATAGTTATGTCTTGTCAGGGAAAGTGAATTAGAAAATGAATAACACCTGTCATTTCAGTCCAGGGTAGCTTCAACGACAGCACCATATTCTACTGGTTCAAAATATCCTAGAAAAGTTTTTCTTTCCACTGAAGAAAAACTTTCTAATGATGTGTTCAGACTAGGAAGGAGAAGGATTTGAGGAAGGGGGGATGGATTGTGGTATATGATTAATTTGGGGTCAAGAAAACTAGTTAATAAGCATTTCTTCATCCAAAAGATGACTTACGTGAAGATGAGCTGGGAGCCTGTCTTTCTCCTTCAAATGACCTTGTTTATAGCCACTCTAAATCATAAAGTGCTGATGTTCAGCTTTAACTCTCGGGATTGGAAAGGCAAGTTTACTTTTCTTAATCCCAAGGTGTGTGTATGTTTGTTTTTGGAGTGATTCACTGATATGCCGAGAATTGGCAGCAGCGTCATGAGCACGTGGTGGCCATGGCAACTGCGGGAGTCCCTGGGATCTCCCAGTGAGCACTGGGAAAGTGAGGAGCATCATGACACAATCGAGTGAGGGGACATTGTACATTAAGATGCCAGCAGACGGGTGGCCAGAGAGTAAGACTGGACATTTGGAGATGAAGGTGCAGGTGGAGACAAGGAGGGTGACAGTTACAAGGAGGGGGGGAGTTTGCAGAGTCACATGTCATTGAAAGGCTCATACGAGAGTCTACTGTATGTGGCAAATGAGTCATGACTTTTTGTCACGGAGATTTTGATAAAGTAGTTGACGGAGATACTTGTTAAAAGATCGGGACATAGATACAGAGTGCAGAATACTATTCTAAATGCTAAGCTTTGAAGAAAAAGAGGAAGACATTTTATTTTAAATTAGATTTAAGTTCATTTTACACATGTGTACATTTGTACACATGGAGTTTGGGTCATGGTGGGGACGCGTTAGTAGCAAGGTTTATAAGACCCTCAAACTCCTGAATCTAAAACAGACGAAGTGGGATGGCAGAGGGAAAAGCATGTGGATGACGTTTTCAACACAACTCAGCGATGGAGATGCCCCGGAAACCCTAGAATATGGGTGAGTGTGGACGGACTACTGGTGACAGGCAGGAACACCAGTGTGGGGACAGCCGCCGTGCAGCGGAAGTGGAGGGCGGTGGAAGGGGACGGCCTGGCTGAGTTACAGTACGGTCAGGAAACGCTTACCTTCAAAGCAGAGGAGCACCCCTAGGTGGGCACTGGGAAATGAGCCTCAGAAGATTCACAGCACTGGATAGGGCTGCATGGGCTCTGAGTTGCAGATGAGTAGAAAGGCCGTGAGTGTAGTCAGCTAGGACCGCGCAGGCTGGTGGTGGTCCAAGTCCTTGGGGTCTCAGAAGCATTCAGCAAATACTCTTTTCAGAAGAACAGAGACTCACCCTGAGGGAAACCGCTGGACTTAGAAATCAAACTGAGGCGGAGTGGAATCTGACAGTAACAGAGAGGAGGCTCCGGCAGCCTGGGAGACCCGACAGGATTCTACCCTATGAAATACTACAAAAGAAAAACGCGACATGAAAAACTGAGCACCTGGCGTTAGAATGAACAGAGTGCTCGAGGAAAGACATGACTGAAGGGGGAAACTCTCCCAAGCTAGTGCCGCTCTGAGAAGTGGGATAAATATTTTGAGTCTGTCAGGGTAAAATCAAGAGAGAAGGCTGGAAAAGTATCCTTTGTCATCCTCTCCTGCAGGGAGCATATCCTGATTAACTAAGAAGTGCTGTCTCATTGCAAATGGAAATAAAAGGAAAAAGATTTAGCCCTTTACAACTTTATTACAAGAAAAAAGATGAAAATGAACCAAATAACGTTTTGGCGACTAAAAGTAACTAAAAAAATAGACACAAATCTTGTGAATACTATAGTTTATTGCTTGAAAATGATTAAAGCTTTGAAATAGCAGTATAAATCAGAAATAAAACAGTTCACAAGCACAATGACTAAAGGACAAAAATCTGTGAAACAAGAAAAGGCATAATTTAGGAAAGAATTGAAAAAAATTAAGAGTTATAAAATGAGGGGGAACACATCAGAAAATAAACACAACAGATAGCATAGTATGGGAAATAAAGAACAGTAAGAAAATACATTCAGAAAATCAAACAAATAGAGGTAAAAAAATTAGTGGAAAGATATTGCTGGCTGGCAAAGGTGATAGGCACATATATAACTAGATTCTCTTAAAAAGAAAACCAAACACTAGATCAAAGCAAGTATTTAAAACAATAATTCAAGCAAGTGTCCTGCAGTTAAACAATACACAATGACTTAGTACCGAAATGGCACAACTGTGCCTGGGGAAATGGACCCAGCATGGTCGACGTGTAACATATTCTAATAAAATTTGTCAGCTGTAAATGTTAAGAAAAATATCTTTTCAGCATCCAGGGAATAAGTTCAAGTTACTTAGAAAATATAAAGAGAAAGAGATCAATGAAATAGAAAATAAACAAAAAGAATAGTAAAAGCAAACAAGTTTTCTTGTTCAAAATCAATAAAATAGACAAACTTAACCTATATTTAAAATGTTGATTTTTATACGAGGACCAGGTTTTTGAGCCAGTCATTCTTTCTCTGAGGACACTAGAAAAGCTGGTCAAATGTGTACAAAAACATCTGCCGGAAGTCGTCAGGAGCTAACGTGACAAGTTATAGGGCCACATTCTGGAAGAAAACGGCCTCAAGAAGTGAGTCTGGTATCTGGGCCGCTTGTCCAGCAGGGCGGTTCTAGAGGAGAGAGATGAAGGCTGAGAAGCTCAGCAGCTCTTCTGAAAGCCTAGTAGGATCAACAGGATAAAAGTTGGAGTCTCGGTCCATCGAAGTGAGGCACGGTGAACTCCACGTGCTCTGGGATGTCAAAGGGCTGCGGTCTGGGAATGAGCGAGAACCAGCCTGTCCCCTGGGACTTCACAGTTGGTAAAGCTGATCTTGGAATCCTAGTGCTATGGTGATCTCCCTTTTGCATTCCTGACTTTGGTTATTTTTGCTCTCTCATTTTCCTCCTTCCCTTCTTGATCAGTCTTTCTGAGGACTTTAAAAAAGATATTCCCATCCCATGCAGAGGAATTTGCCATTATTTAGCAAAATTGCATATGAATTTATTTTCTTTGAGTAACCTAGGAAGTTTTTGCAATGACAGACGGTCAAAATTATTCCTTATGCATAGAATTACTAATCACAGAGTTACTTAACTAGCAAAATCCTGGAAATCAATAGGGGATAATAAAATAAATTGTAATGTAGTACTGAATGAAGTAACATGCAGACACAAAAAAGAATGAGGATAATCTCCATCACGTTAGTGAGGTAATCTCTGGGATATATTGTTAAGTGAAAAAAGGGAGGTGCAGGGCAGCGTATATAGTGTGTGTCTCTTATTTAGGGAAAGTGGAGGAATTTAAATATGTATGGATCTACTTATAATTGTGAAAAAATACTGGGAAGGTAAACTAAAAACTAATAAAATGATTTACCTCTAGGAAAAAAGTAGGTGGGACATGGATGGAAATAAGACATTTTTTAACATATCTTGTCACACAGTTTCGACTTTAGAACCATGCAAATGTTTTATATTTCAAAATATTAAATTCAAAAAGTAATTTAAAAACTGAAAATACACTGAAATAAATGAACCTAAATGCATATCAAGTTGTTAGATTATCAAACATAAAACATATTTCAAGTAACTTTAAGACACAGTTTTTGCCTATGACAAACATAACCCAAAGAAAAATATGGCTTAACATAAATTTTAAAATTTATTTGGTTGACTTTTTTTTAAATATTAATTTTTTAAAAATGTATCTATAATAGGATATATAGTAGGATAGGGGAAAAGTAATTAGGTTTATTCGATTAATATATTTATTTGGAACCAAGATTTTCAGTGTAAGAGAAAAAATAAAAATATAAAAGGTAAGAATTTAAGTAAAATCCTTGAAATGTCAAATTTTAATTGAAACTATCAGTACATGCTTTTTAAAAAAATACGTATTTTCAAGGTCTTTCCATTGAAAAGTCCCAGAAGCAATTGAGCGCACAATAGCAACAAGCACCTCTAGCACCTAGATTGTAGTCTGCTTTCAAAATCATTCCCCACTAAAAGGAACCATGGCTTCTTGGAAGAAGAGTTGATTGTAGGTCTGGGGCAGGAAATGTGTAATAAGATGAGTCTGAAACATTAATGAAATCTTTCAAATGACATGGGAGCCAAGATGAAGACACTCTTACCAGCCAAAA